CTATACCTTTTCGACTTCAATTTCAGAATCGGTGAGTTATATTTCGGAAAAAGTAATCATGATTTCAGAATTGGTTAGTTCGATTTCAGAAATGGTAAACTCAATTTCAGAATCGGTGAGATGAATTTCAGAAAAAGTCCATTCAATTTCAGAAATGGTAAGTTGTATTTCAGAATTATTATTGGTAGGTTCAATTTCAGAAGATGAAATACTTTTATATGTTTTTACAGTGGATGAACGGTGTTTGAGAGCCCTATGTTGAATCAGATTGAACATATATGGGGTGGTGCCTTCAAGTCAGAAGTGAAGAGCTCCTTGCAAGAGCATCGCCAAAGGGTCATAGCTGGGGATCCGAACAGCTTGCTCAACCAAATAGAATTCAGACTGCGATGTCTTGAGGAATGTGCAGATCATTCAATGAAAATGATAACACCTCAAATGTGTTTGCATTCTCATAATCATGTGCAACGCTTCTTCCAGCGATTCGGATGGAAGGCATCTGTGGATTAAATTGAGATTATAATTATGTTATTGAATTGTTTTTGACAAGTTGAATATTGTAAATATGGTTTGTTAATCTCACATACAATTGGAAACATTTCGAACAAATATAAGGATTTTTTTTCTGAAATTGAACCTACCAATTCTGAAATACAACTTACCATTTCTGAAATTGATTGGACTTTTTCTGAAATTCATCTCACCGATTCTGAAATTGAGTTTACCATTTCTGCAATCGAACTAACCAATTCTGAAATCGAGATTACTTTTTCCGAAATTGAAGTTGAAAAGGTATAGTGCGCCTCGTTTTGAAAAAATCAGTTCTTAATAAGCAAAATCTTCAAAAAAGGGGATCCAGATTCACCCCACAATAATTATAGACCAATTTCTAAAATACCTGTTTTGGGAAAAATAATAGAGATTACAGTTGAGAAGCGCCTGATGATTTTTATCAACATTTACAATTTGCTACACGTGAACATTTATATGGCTTCATGAAAAAAAAAGTCTAAAACCGATGCAGTGGTTGAAGTAATACACAATATAATTGAAAATGTGGAAAATGGTGGAAATACCTGCTCATTGACTTTGTAGTATTTCAGCGAAGCTTTCAATTGCTGAAATGCCGCAATTTACTGACTATTAACAAATAATCATGTGTCAATTAATGAATCGAGGGATATGATTCTGTTGAGAAAGATGATCAATATTATCATTCATAATAACTTGTTCCAAAAATAAACCTAATATTGTGTACAGGGTGATTCATAATTAACAAAGAGCAAAGATATATTTATAATACTGAAATCATAAATATGATGATTGGCCAGATATGACCTAAGTTGAATGTAGTAAACAAGTTCCCGGCGGTGAAGTACACATATTTTATCAACTATTTCGGATGACAGTAGTAATCGTTTTAGTTGATAATAATTAGTGGTTTTCAAGATGGCAATAAATGTCACCATCACCATCATGTTATTTTTTGCTATCTCCACAAGACGACGCTCTATATGCTAACGGAGAAGAATTGTGGACTATATACATATATGGGTGACACAAACTCATGGCATACCCCCCATTTTTCCTCTGATTTTCTAGCTATATTTCTGAAATTTGGAACATCGAATATGCTCACTAGAGGACACTATCACACATTTTAGGATTTTTTTTCATCTTTGGGTTTTTCGGGAAATGTGATCAACTTTCGATTTTCAAACGGAACACTCTGTATTTTATTCCATAATGTTTGTAAATTATTATAACGAATTCAACAATACCGGGTTTGATTGGGTTATTTCAATCGATTACGAAGATATTCTCGTTCTAAGATTCCATAAGCTTAATGAGTGTAATATGTACAGGGTATTTCATTTGAAAATCGGAAGTTGATATCATTTCCAGGAAAACCAGAAGATGAAATAATTTCCTAAAATTGGAGAAAGTGCCCTCTAGCGAGCATGTTCGATGTTTCAAATTTCAGAAATATAGCTAGAAAACCAAAGGAAAAAAGGGGGTATACCATGAGTGTGTCAAGTGTCACCAAGTATAGCGTCTTTATGCAGGTAAGATCTATAATCGGTATAAATCAAGAAGGTATACTTGTTTCAACTTGATAAATTCAACAGATTTCGATAAATTGATGAAACATCATTTCTGTAATATTCCTTCGAATATTCCAAAATAGTTGATGAGATATGTCAACTTCATCGCCCTCTGTGAAATGATAACTATCAACATTTCATTAGAGTAATATTCGGCCAATCGTCATGTTTTGATGTCAGAAATGTCATCAGGTTTCTACTATTGCTCAGTGTTCAATTCATCATGAATCACCCTGTATATATTCGACTAAAAATGCCCATAATAGTAAATATAACATTGAATCCAGACAATCAGTTGTCGTATTTACTAGATAATGATGAAATATACGCGTATTCTAAGACAGGGGCGTAGAATTTTTCATTCTGAACACATACCGAACTAAAATATTATAATTATTAACTATGTTTCCACTTCTTTTCGTCTGCCTTGTGCAATTATTCCTGAGATGATGTTCTTTGAGTAGGTGGGTTGTTTAACGTCTAGAAAACGTGTAAATGCTTGATACTTAATCTCAATGATAATCCTTCTATGCCGAATATCTCCATTTAAGATAATCGATCCTTTTTTGTGGACGAAAGCAAATCAGGACTTTTAAAAGACAACTTTCTATTAACAGATAGTCATTTTTTCATCAGGGAATACTCAATAACAAACATGAGCTCCACCAGAAAATAGTCAAGACACGGAGATCAGAAGAAAATACCGACCTAGTTGGTCACAAACCAAAAACTCACCACATGGCAGAAGTTTTGGTTCAAGGCCAAATACCTTTATAATTTTGTTATATTAAACCGAAGGATTCGAAACGTTTACATTATTTTTATGAATATCGAGATACAGGTGCAATGAAAGCAATAACATACAAAAATATTAAAAAGAATCTCTTTCGCCACTCCAATCCTTCCTGGAAATTACTGTCTTCAAAGTTGGGTTCCTGTTACCCAGTACCTCCACTTATTTACGTGCAGTAGGTCGATACCTGAATAGAACAGGACTGTATAACAGCCTTCTGGAGTCAATGGATCACATTTATCTTTGTTGACAACATGAATAGATCCACAAGACTAATGCACCATTCGCTGAAGAACTGAAGAGCTCGTACGGACCTTAATAGCACGCAAACTACTTGGGACGTCTCTATTAGGTATAATTCAAGTCCGAATCTCCTAGACCAAAAATAATCGTCCTTGGCAAGTTCCATCCAGTAGGTACGTATCATGCAATGTCCGAGCAAGGACGTCCTTAGAATGTCCGAACTGGTACATTATTTCAAATGTACTAGAAATAGCATCCTTCAGACGTCCCACGTGGTGCATATTGTGGAATGTCCATGCATGGATGAGATATAATATTGAACGTTCCCTTAAGGAGTAAGGATGTCCCAAGTAGTAAATTTTCTGGCATGACTTGAGATCTGATATAATGCCCCTTCTAGATTAACTATGAAATATCCCAGACGATACATTTCTTCAAATATCTCTGCTCAGACGCCCTTGAAATTTCTAGGATCGTGTAACATTCGAAATGTCTCTTAAGGACATCCGTCGGATGTCCTTATTGGTACAGAAACTGTTATGACTTCGGAAGGAACTCCTATAGATAATCCGTGATAAGTACAAGGATATTCTTCAGGGAATATAATTTCTCAAGATGTCATGAGTGAAACGTCTTATAAACGTCCCAAGGACGTCCTCAGAATATCCTGGATACGATTCGGAATGTGTCCTAAATTACACTCATCGTTGGTAAAAATTGGAAAAGGACTTCAGATAGACATCTGATATAAATGTCGTTCACGCAAGCGAATGATCATTCTTTCCTCCAATGTGCTAGAAATAACATCCTCCTGACGTCCCAGTCGGTACGTTGAATATGTTGTCTTTGCGAGGACATTAACTTACACCTCGCCGACGATCGATTGCTCGTAGGCTATAAATACTTCCTGTCAAAGTCCTCTACGCAAGTCCATTAGACTTTTCTTGGGAAACTTCTTGAGAATCTATCGGGCACCTTCTGAGGACCATCAACTCAACTGGATGTATTAATCAGTTATGTAAGATCTGGTCCTCGGGAGACCCAAATGAATTCAGATTCAAGAATAATTCGTACGTCCCTAGGTCATCCTACGGACATTCCAGACGACGTCCTATGAAAGTTCTGGAAACGTCCTATGATCACTCCAGAGAACGTCTTATGGACGTTCCAGCAAACGTCCTATGAACATTCCAGAGGAGGTTTTGGAGGATGTCCTATGGATGACCTCGGTACAGAGACAGACTGTTTTATGAACTCTTTCAAAGGACGTCCATTGGATGATTTCCCAAACAGGTCTAATGTTTATTCTTGAGGAGTATCCTTTTCTGTTGAAAAGTCGGGATATTTGTACTTCCCACGGACGTACTATATGGATGTCCGCGGTACCAATAACGCATGTCCTATGGACGTCCCGAATTCAGTGTGCTATTAGGGACGAGCTGGTGCAATGTACTGAAGGAATAAAAGATCTAGTGCTCCTCTTATTTTGCTATTCCCCATTTCTTCAGTCCCATATCACTTAGAAATTTCAGGATATGAGGTGGTTCCAGGTGGATTAGCTCCTTTTCCTCCTCTTTATATGTGCTCCTAGGTTTCTTGCCCTTGGAGGTTCTGTAGGGTGGCACATTTCGTAAGTATTTGAATAAAGGGTGGAAGGGTTGGGTAAACCAATAGTGATGCTCCGCCTCTGGTTAGATACCGATTAGCATTTCTAAAACCCACTGCAGCCAGCAAGTTGAATTGACTTCTCCCGTCTAGATAACCAGCAATCGAAAGGTTATATTTAAGAAATAAAATTTTTCCATTGCTGATAGGTAGACTACTATTTAATGGAAGATCGCTCTTTAGAAAAGTTTATTTGAATTTCGAATCGGTCTTGTGCATTCGGCTCTTATCCCAATCTAAAGTTACCCAACTGGCTTATCATTTTATATATGGTGGCGAAACAATTTATATGAATTATTTTTCGCGCCGGTATTGGAACGCAGTTCTCATTTATATGTTCAATATTTGATAATTGCCCATTTTCTGACTGTGTTTTCGTAGTATGGCAATGTTATTGAGGACTAGAGGTGGTATTGCCTTAGGCTTTAGAGTAGTTTGTGTTATTGCGGTTACGCTTACTTTTATCGTTATTGGCACGTTTCATAGTGGACAGTTGAGATCAGAGGAGATCAAGGATGGAACAGGTAATGGTTCATATCTATAATATCTACCTCTATATCTACCTCGAGTAGTATTTTTTTGTCTAGGAGACAATCAGCAGGAAAAATAACACTTTCCGTCCTTGTGATTATTTGTCATAGACTTATTTTTCTATCATGAATGACCTTTGCAGTAACAGACAGAAAGTTGATATCAGTTTTCAACTTTATAAACAATATTTTCATAACGTATGGGTAAAATTCATATATTTCCTGTTCAAGCAGCTAAACATCATATTTTATCAAATGACCAGGCTGAACGGACTATACACATCAATCGTAGTAATGTTCTTTGATCAAATATCTGTTTCAAAAGCTTCATTACTTGTTGAATATTCATTTGGTCAGAATATGAAGAATATGACATCATATTGATGTATAGGTACTTACATTGTATTTTTGTGTTACCAAATCTTCGTACTTCAAGATATACATATTCGCTTTTGTTTAATGACAATGAATCTAAAGATGATAATGTAGCACGATTATAGTTATTGACAAAACGCTTCACATTTTTTTGTGTCCGTCAGTTCTATCTTGATGGGGTTATCAGAAGAGGGCAATATTTTTATGTGGGGGTGAATGGCAAGAAATTGATTTGTTCTATTTATAAATTATTTCTGATCTATTTGTGGAATGTTTATTTTCCTATGTATAAGTTGGTACATATTGACATTTTATCATCCAGAATCACGCAAAGTAGCCCGAGAAACGAAAAGTTGTAGAGGGAAATGCTTAGAACACAATTTTTGACTTCGTAACTTTATTTGGACTAGTTAGGAGGGGAACATATCAAAAGACCCTGCCCTTAGCCCTCAAGCCAGGGGAAGGGGGGTGGTTTGAAAGTCTAATTTTTCAGTTCTTTCCTTATATCTCGAAAACTATATGTGTCCTACCGATATGACCATTCTATATATTTCAGAATATACTATAAATGGTATATTTAATAAAATTCTATCTTGAAAATTCGTGTCAGAATCTATTTTTATTTTTCTGTCTAACTGACATTATTATTTTTTTTTTAATATACTATATGTACATGAAATTAACACAATCATAAAAAGAACATCTTCAACATTTCTCCCCCCTTAGTTTTGAAGCCATATCATGTCGATAAATTCAAAACTTATAAAACTAATCTTCGTCTTTTCGTTATTACTCTTCTGTTACATGAGACAATCTACATATTTTTGCAACTGGTCGTCTGAAGGTACCATTCTTCATTTTCACGTCGACAACTCTGACTTTGCCATCTTTCCCATTATAAACTCTCTGAATCACTCCCAATGGCCATGAATTTCGAGCTTGTGTGTCATCCACGACGATGACAACGTCATTGACTTTCACATTCTTGATGTCCGAATGCCATTTGCCCTTCTTATTCAAGGTGGGTAGATATTCCTTCACCCATCGCCGCCAAAACATATCAGACAATGCTTGCGAAACTCTCCACTGCTTTCTGAGGTTGATTTCTTTCGAGTCGAATTTTCCAGTCACTGGAGATGCTCCACTTGATGAGTTGAGGAGAAAGTGATTTGGTGTGATGCTCTCAGGGTCATTTGAATCTGAAGATACATACGTCAGAGGTCTGCTATTGACCATATTCTCAGCCTCAACAACCAACGTATACAGAACTTCTTCTTTCGGGCATCTTTCTTTCAGTGTAACTCTCAACACGGACTTAACACACTTGATCAACCTCTCCCAGCTTCCTCCCATGTGTGGTGAAGCTGCTGGAATGAATTTCCAATTTATTTCTTTAGTGGTCAGATACGCTGAAATGTCTTCTTTCTTCAAGTTTTTCACAGCATTTTTCAATTCTTTGTTAGCTGAGTGTAGATTCGTTCCGTTATCGGAATGAATTTCTCGTGGATAGCCTCGCCTTCCAATGAATCTACGGATTGCCATAATCGCAGAATCGGTATTCAAAGTACTGGCAATTTCCAAATGAACAGCTCTCACACTCATGCATGTAAAAAGTACTATATATCGTTTTTCGTGTCTTCTCCCGATAGTCACCGTAACAGGTCCAAAATAATCCATACCTGTTATGGTGAATGGTCGGACGAAGCTTTGAAGTCTGCATTCTGGTAATTGTCCCATCTGCGGAACAGCTGGCTTTGCTCTAGATTTTTTACAATAAAAACAATTATTACTGCACATTCTGACAGCACTTCTTATTTTCAGTATCCAAAATTTCTGTCGAATTTCATTGATCAAAAGCTCCTGTCCTTGATGTTGAAATTTATTATGATAATCTTCAATTAGCAATTTCGTGAAACGATGTTTTGGGTCTAGGATGATGGGAAATTTCTGGAAAAAGTTCAAGTCCTCAGAATTTTGAAGTCGTCCTTTGATTCTCAGGATTCCTTCCTCGTCTATGAACGGTGATAAAGAAAGTAGCTTGCTAGTGTTACATACTGATTTCTCTTTCTTTAGATCTGATATTTCTTCAGGAAAACAAATGCTCTGAATGTATTTGAGTAAAATTCTCTCAGCCCTCTCTATTTCATCATTCTTCAGCTCGCCTGTTATTTTCTCTCTTGTTCTACAATTTTCTATAAATCTCATCATCCATGCTGTTGTTCGAACAAGTCTTCTATATTTTGAAAATCGTTGAACATCAGGTAGATAACTCTCGATTATCCTTGTGATCAAAACTTTTTCTTTTTTTATTTCCAGCATATCCAAGTTCAGTTCTTCCCTCTTTTCTTTTGGCCAAGATCCTGAGGTAGACCTTAGAAACTCTGGACCATCTAACCAATTGTTATTTTTGTTTGGAATTTGCCGAGTGCTCTCATCTGCAACATTTTCTTCCCCAGGAACCCAACACCAACTGGAGACGTCTGTCAGTCCTAAAATTTCGCCGACTCTATGCGAGACGAAGGTCTTGAATCTTTTTGATTCTGATCTTATCCAATACAGTACGGTGCTCGAATCCGTCCACAGATAAGATGTCGATATTTTGATTTCTAAATTACTTTGAATGGTGTTCATGAGTCTACTCAGCATAACAGCTGCTTGAAGTTCGAGTTTCGGTATACTGAGTTGTTTCAATGGTGCTACTCGAGTTTTAGCACTGACGAAGGCTACGTGGATGATATTTCCAACCACAAAACGTAAATAGACCACTGCAGCGAATGCTTTTTCACTGCTGTCGCAGAATCCATGGAGTTCTATGCAGGTACTTTGTGATAAATTAGGTCCGTACCACCTTGGAATGAATATTGTTTCCATTGATCGGAATTCTTGCATCAGGTGAGTCCACCTGGACTCCATTTCTGGGGTAATCATGTCATCCCAACCAATTCCAAGGCGCCATATATCTTGCATGAAAATTTTGAATTTTATAATCAAAGGTGACAAAAATCCGAGTGGATCAAAAACAGACATAGTCAACTGAAGAACTTCTCGCTTAGTTGGGAATTTCGAAGAATTCATCACATTTGGATTGACTTTATGGCAGTGAGTAGAGAATGTGAAATCATCAGTTTCTGGTCTCCACCATAAACCCAGAATCCTCTCTGATGGCTCCTGACAGAACGAATTCAGTTTTTTCTGAGATTCAGATCGAAGTTCATCTGGAATGGTTCTCAAAACCTCCTGGGAATTGCATATCCAATTGCAAATCTCGAAACCGCCCCGTCTGTGAACTTCAATTACCTGAGATATTAGTTGTGCTGCTTGAACTTCAGAGTCTGTTCCATCTAAATAATCGTCCACATAGTGCTTATCAATGATGGCTTTGGCTGCTTCTGGAAATTCGTTCAGATGATTTTCCGCATTTCTGTTCTTCACAAATTGCGCCATACAAGGGGAGGATGTTGCACCAAAAGTCATGGCCTTCATTTCGTATACATCTGGAAATCTAGATCTATCATTTCCTCTCCAGTAAAATCGTTGTGCAGAACAGTCTTCGTCTCTTATTAATATCTGATGGAACATCTCTCTGATGTCTCCACAAAACGCTATTTTTCTCTGTCTGAATTTCCATAAGATGGCAGTTAAACTCCTCAATAAATCAGGGCCTTGTAAAAGTTGAGTATTCAAGCTTATACCATTTGATTTGGCTGCAGCATCAAACACTAACCTCAATTTGGTGGGCTTATTCGGGTTAATCACACCAAAATGAGGTAAATACCAAGTTCTTGGTCCGTCTTTCTTAGCCTCATCTGGTTCAAGTTTTCGTATATATCCTTTCTTCAAATATTCTTCAATTTTAGCGCAATATCTTTCAGAAAAATTAACATTCTTGTCCATTTTTCTCTCCATACATTTCAGTCTATTCATTGCCACCGTTTTGCTATCTGGTAGAATGTCCGCGTCGTTCCTCCACAATAATCCAAGTTCAAATCTTCCTTCAACCATCTTCAGAGTCTTTTCCATAATTTCTAGTGCTCTTTCGTCTTCTTTCGATCTTCCGTTTCCTTCAATTATTTTAACGCCAAAATTTTCAGTCTTAAATGAGTCTTTCACAAGATTATGCAAGTATTCGTCATTTTCTTGTGATTGACTGCAACACAGATGAAATACCAGAGATCTATCAAGATTCTGTTTGAACTCAGGTTTTCGTCCATGGATGACCCATCCCAACAAAGTTTTCGAAACAAATGGCGTATTCCACGAAGAACCTTGGTATAGTTTTCGTGCTATTGTTAAAGCACATTGGTCTTGTCCGATCAATATCATGGGCTGAGCATCTCTGAAGGAAACTACTGGAACTTGCTTGATATAGGGATACATCTTTGCCATTTCATCTACATCTATTGTCTGTTTTGGTAAGGATAGATCTCGAACTGTTCTTGCGCCAGAAATTCGGTAAGTTTTCGCCGTTTCATCCACCCCAGAAATATTTAGTGAAACTCTTTTCGAATCGTCTTCATTCCTGCTCACTTCGTTCAGCCACTGGTAACAAAGGGGCTCGACCGGTCCATCGAGTCCTATTTCCTCTGCAATCCTGGAGTCAACCAGAGTTGTAGTCGCTG